ATCCCACATATTTATATTACATGTTGTCTTTTCTAGTTCCAAACGGCTTTTGTCTTACTCCTGTGTACATTCCTCATTCGTATCATACATATTTTACATAAAAAAGTTAATATTATCTCAGCCCAGCTTACAAGGAAATTGCTATAAAGGTATATAAAATATTAACATTATTATTTTATTATTATTATATTTAAATTAATATTTTCTCGAGATTTAAATATAATGAAATGACAATGTTCTTCTCTATCCTTAGTTATTGACGAATAAACAACTTATTTTCACATTTATAATATTAGTAAGGGTTAACTTGGTTGTTTTGTGTAAAAAATATCTTGCGGGTAAATCAACGTGTTAACAGTGTACAGCCTCGCCGTAATGCGCTGCTATCTGTTCCGGGTTCGAGAGTACTGAGAATTATGGCGCAAATATCGATACTATGTACGAAAAGTACAAGATACAACCACAGCGAACCAAAATAGAGCGCATTCAATTAAATTAATTTATGCACTCATTTCTACCTTCATTACTTAATTTTAACTTAACGGTCGAGGGATGGGCAGCAAAAGATTTCCACTTAAAACATCACCAAAGCTATTTACATTGTAGTAATTCTGAGAGCTAAACCTTTGTTCAAGTATAAATAAATAAACCTTTTATTATTAACAAAAAAACACCTAACTGCTGTTGCAAACCCGCCAAACGTGGCAAGTACTGGCGAATGGAGTCAAGTTATCTAAAATAAGTAAATTAAATTAATTAAATTAAATTAATTAAAGTTCTTCATAGGGGGAGGCCTATGTTTAACAATGTATATTTGACGGCTGATACAATGAAGATGGTGACTCATTCCTAACCAGCCAGTAACATATGCAGGCTGACGTGCCGAAATTATAATCTTTGTAAAAGTATAATATAGTATTTCATATACATAATATGTATTCTATTTCACTTAAGCCTTGAGAGTGAAGAGTGATTCACTATAATATGGTCAAGCCTCGACCCACAATAACTTTATTCTTTATTTTAATTTTTTACAGTTTCTGTGTAGGTAACTTTTATATGAAATTGTGAATCTAGTTTAATTGTATATCAATGGTTACTTACTAAGTAAAGTGACAGACAGTTTCTAGATAAGTTTTAAAAACTATATAAAGCAAAGACCAAAGTATGCAGCCGTCATGTAGGAAATCATAAGCAATAAACTGGAAAGGTCACAGTTAAAATGGTGATTAATATAAAATATTTTATTTACACTCGTAGAATAAATAATGCGTGTACAAAACAACGTTTTGGAACAAAAGTAATTGTTTTATATAAAAAAAGTAGTTTATTTCTGAACTTAAATAAATTATTGATTTAATGTTTAATTTACGAATATCTATACGGATTTCTATAGTCTAATAAGAGAGGAAACTATTAAAAGATTATTGTCTTAGATTATAAATAATAATTTTTGTCTTTATACATATAAATAAATATCAATTGCCGAATGTCTATATGTAAGCCCATCACTTCAGAAAGACTGTACCTATCTGACTAAAGTTTGTCTGTAAGAGATTGTCCTAGCGATACGATCACCTTTTGTACCTTTATGTGTATATTTCAATCTGTATTTATGTTACTTGAATATATTTTACTAGTATTATTCAATTGTCATTGTATATTTTTGTTTCTGTTGCAATAAAGAGTTAAATAAATAAATAAATATTTTTTTTGTTGTGTTTGTCAGAGCAAGGTTTATATGAAAGAAAATGTTTGCAAAATCGTACAGAAATTAATATAGCCATGCGAAGCTGGGCGGGGGCAGCTAGTATAGAATATTATCCTACACTAGCGATCCGACCCTGCTTTACACGGTTAAATAAATTATCGAAAATAATATGAATTCTATATGACTCGCTGATAAAGTTAGTCCCTCAGGTACATAAGTAATGTAATTACGAGACGTAAGACACCTTATGTGCTTCTGTGTACATCAGACATGTAAATGTATTGCACTTACCCGTGTCTATACAGGTCGCGCTTGGCCATGATCAATTCTACAAACAGTTATTACTGAGCTATATGATATATTTTTTGTGCCAATTGTGGTCACCCATCCTAGTTGCAACTACGGCTGTTGTTGCTTAACTTGCATTAGCGCTACAACCTCTAAGCAATCACTCGCTCCTCATTGTATTACATATTTAAATAATAATTATGCACTTAACACCTACATAAAGTTTCAGCCAATTCAAATGATCGGTTATTTTGTACAATTTTATATGTGATTCTGTAGATTCATAAAACTTTTTTATTTATCAACTAATGGAAATAAAACAAACACTAAATGTTAAGTGTAGCAAACCGCAACGCATTAGTGAAAACCGCATTCAAATAGGTTAAGCCGTTTCTGGGATTAGTGCGCATAAACGACAAAAATTCTAAACATCATTGTTTTGGGTTCTATTGCGTTCATAAAGCCCTCGTATAATAGTTTTTCTTATATACTATCTTATATGTACAGACAGCAAACAGTTACGATTTTATTATATGTATTAATTGATTATAATGAGGTAATATTTGATTGTTTGTTTGTAATGAATACATTTAAAAACTACTTAACCTATTCTAAAAATAATTTTACATATAGAAAGCTAAGTTTTTCTTTTATGGATGAAAATGGTATGGTAACCCCGCCTGCGCTAACGGGATACGCTGGCGGAGCACCAGTGAAGGGTGATAGATGAGAATGAAAACAGGCCAGTTAGCCCACCATGATGAATTCATCAGGAATTAACCATGATAGTTTCCAGGGGGAACCGCGAGGAGTCGACCTGGTTGGGTATATTGCTAGCAATAGGATTCTCAGTCTCCATTACTAACAATCTCTTCCCCCCCCAAGAAAGCTACGTTAACAATGAATAACATAGATTATATATTATTTTATAATCTTATTCATATTATTTAATATTCTGTGGACCCGTGCGATGCCGGGTTGAATCGCTAGTAATATATATTTCCTCAATCTCCACGTCACTTATATAAGAAAGAGGTTCTCGATTCGTCTGTATGTATTTTGTCTATATATGTTACGCGATATCTTCCCATATTCCATTCTTTTAGCAGCCATATTAATCTGTCGCCATTGTAATTGTTGTTGTTTTCCCCAGCACAATCTTGTATTAATGTAATTTGTTTATTGTTTTTGTAACGATATGTAATAAGGGCAGGGAGGCGATGTTTACTGTTTCGTAGCGCCGCTTCCTGTGTTGTTCGTGTGTGCGCTGTTCGTAACTTCGTCATGATAACATGGCATTCACCATTTAATTAAGATTTTGACCCTCAAATACGTGAACTCAGTCTATAGCCTAAGTGGGGGGGAGGGGGAGGGATTGTTAGTAATGCGGGCTAGCTGTCCCAATTCTAGCAATATACACTATCAGGTCGATCTCCACGCGGTTCCCCCTGAAAACCATCGTGCTAAATTCCAGATATATTCATCACCTGCTTTTTCATTATCCCTCACTGGTGCCCCGCCAGCGTATACCGTTAGCGCAGGCGGGGTTGCCTACTCCGTTACCATCCATTAAAAAAATATCCAAAGTAACTTGGGGGGGGGGGGGTGCCAATAGTTACCACGGTTGACAGGCGGGTTGGCAACCGCCGTTAGGCTTTGGTGATGCCTTAAGAGAAACGCTTACGAGAACTGCCCATCCCTCGACCATTAAGCTCCCTTAGTCGCCTCTTACGGCACTAATGGGAAATTATGATAAATATCGTGTGATAATAGTATAATATATGATAACATAATAGTACTTTGTCTAGTGTTCGAATCCGACGTACACCCACATCATCCGTATTTTTATTACGTCACTTTAGATTAGGATATTATTCTTTTCTCCTCGACCTAAACGTTATCTGGAAGAGGTGTGTATTATTTGTATTATTCTTGGAGTGGTACAATAAAGAGTAAATAAATAAACAAAAATATGTAAACATTTATTGACCACAGTGAGTGGCAAGAGCTCCACCGACAAGAGCGCAGCTCTTAAATAGGATAGATAGATAGATTGACCACAAAATAATTTACATGAGAAGTACAACAATCGCAAGTACAGAATTAAAAAAAATCTAATTTTCTAGAATTATGAACAATACACCGATTTAATAAGATTGTTATTTAGATTGTTTCGATTGCATGTTATTTTGGAAATAAATTCTTAAATAGAAGATTCAAGATTCAAGATTTATTTATTTGTAAAACATGCGTATAAATACATGCAGATGTTGACAATATAATAACGTTCGACATGTTTAGCCTGTACGCCATACAAACATATGTGGTTACACAGATAGTTCACATTACACATCAAGTCCATTTTATACCATTAATCGTCATCACATTACAATTTTTAAATACATTTAAATAAATAATATAAACTAATTAATATAAACATTAAGATTTATTGTGGTTATTCTAATTTTGGAGAGAGAAAATAAAAAGATAGTTGTAAACGTGTTTCTGTATCGAATTGTTGGATCCGAATATTTATGTAATCAATATTGCCATAACACCTTTATTTTCTCCGCAAAACAAAGCAACTTGAACATATAACAGTCCAGGTGTTTCAAGTTCAATACATTAAATTAAAAATATTTCCATGTAAAAGGCGGAATCGTGTGTCCGTAAGTAGAGTCCACTTTGCAACAAGCAGTTTTTTGCTACGCAGAAAAAAAATGGAAGATTTGATCGATACAAAATTAATATGAGATTTGGTTGGTCCGGGAGTATCGACTGCAAAAAACAAACAGTTATCAAAATCGGCTCGGATTTGGAGACATAATCGCGTAATATGGCTACAAAAATATGGACGAAATGAGAACCTTGTTTCGGAAGTAGTTCAAAAGTGTATGATGTTAGTGCAGGACAGTCGCTAGCAGACGGCCGGCCGGGCGGCCCACGTACGGAGGGGTGGAGAGGGGCGGGGCGGGGAGGGGATGTAGAGGAGATCATCTCATAAATACTATACTAGTGGAAATATCGAAACATTGATTGTTGATACGACGGCTGCCGCGGCCGCAGCAGTGAATATCTAGTTAGTGTGCTTGGTGCTTTGGTTCGAGAGTGGCAGTCATGCGAGCGCCCGGTGCTGCGCTGCTGGCGCTTTGCATCTCCCGTGAGTGTCTCCCACCAATATTATTCAACTGACAGTGAATTTATTTGTTGCCTCTTGGCGTTTTAGCTTATTTGGGATGGAGAAGGACATAGCTTACTTTTTATTGCGGTCGATCAACATATCACGCGGACGAAATCGCGGGAAACCATTAGTGTTATGATAAAAAATTATTGATGATTTTATCTTCTGTTAATCAAGCTTAGTTTCACAAGTGCCGTACGTCTGCTTTGCAAAGGGGTTCTTAAACCGATGGTTATATTTTTCAAACGACTTCCAAAACTGTATGTAATATTTAATTTTATGTATATGTTACGTGAATATGTTACCAATTCTGAGCTCATTTTGGCAATTTGTTTGCAATTTATACAGTCTCTCTCTATACGACTGACCACTGTTATAATAATTGTCAATTGACTTCAAAAACAACGAGGTTCCCAATTTATATATTTTTTAATATTTGTTATTTCATAACTTCGTCATTTATAAACCAATTTGGAAAATTCTTTTTTATCTGAAAGGATATACATATTTACAGACTAGTTCCATGGAAATTTTAACAAAATCAGTTTAGTAGTTTAGTTTTTAAACCAAAAACTGGTTTTGCTACAACTGAAGTTGGTTTTTTGTGGAAAACTGTTTATAGATACAATTAAGTGACAATAAAAAAAAAAAACTACATAGCTGTGACAATAACAATAGGATTTACATTTCACAAAATATTTTATAATCATTATTATCGTCATATCAGCCATTATTTTTTTATACAACTTAGAATGGCAAACAAGCTGACGGCCCACCTGATGGAAAGTGGTAACCGTCGCCTATAGACATGAGCAGTACCATGGACATAACAGATTACGTTGTTTCGCCCAGAATACCCCCCATGCGTTGCCATTCCTGAGGACTCAGGTGTTATTCCTCTGTACCCTGTAAATTCACGCCGTATCCCACCCTTCAAACCGAAACACAGCCATGCAAACACAACTCCTTTAAGGTTGAAACACGAATGGGACAGAGGTACGCAAGCAAACGACTTTTGTACAATCTCCCTCTGGTAAATGTACACTGGTGAACACAGAACAACAAAATCTACCTTTCCCATAAAGGGGGTTTTACCAGTAGTTGATACGCTTGGCAGGCGGATTGGCAACCGATAGCAAATAGGCTTTGGTGATGTTTTACACTGTACTGGGACACTGCTGCCCATCCCTCGACCATTAAGTTCCCATACGTGCCTCTTACGACACCCACGGGAAAGGAAGGGGTACAAATTATTTATTGCAAATCTATTAGTTAATACACGTTTCCGCATTCTAAATTCAAATAGTATAAAATAATATGTCTACGAGTCAATTAATCAATTTATTTGCATAAACAACATACAGTTACAAGTTTGATGTCGCAGAATATGTAGAGCGCTGTTTTTTTTTTAATGGGTGATAATGGAATGGTAACCCCGTCCGCGCTATCGCTATACACCAGCGGGGCACCAGTGAGAGATGATAGGTGAGGACGAAATAAGTCAGTTAGCGCATCGTGACGAATTCAACAAGAATTGTTTACGATGATTTCCAGGGGGAACCACGCGGAGGTCGATCTGATAGGGTGTATTGCTAGCAATGGGTTCATTAGATCCCATTACTGACAATCCCTTTCCCCCTAGAGCGCTATGTTACCATCATACTATGAAATATCTCGTGTTCAAATTAATAATGATATAAGTAAAGTAAGCGCCAGTCAATAAATATATTTTTGTGTCGCGGTTGAAGTAACTATATGTGGCGGAGCAAAATGTACTTTCAGTCGATGTGGTCTGCTCCCGGATTGTTTACTAATTTTCTCTCACTTCGTTGTGGTAACAGAACACCATGCAAGTTTTCAGGGAGGATTGTGTGGAGGTCGGCCTGACAGTACATTATTAGTAATGAGGCTACTAGTTCCCCCTACAGATGGTATAATAATATCTCGTACCTAAATGTTATTGTGGATTCAGGTTGTGCTTTATGCAATAAATTAATATTCGGAAAATCCGGTTGTTTCGTGTTAGTGTGCGGCGTCTATTTTAAGAATTAAATAAATTACATATGTTGTTACACTTCATTTATGAGTTTCATTTATTTTATGTTTTATAAGTTTAACATATATTGCAAAACTCAACTCAATAAGCACCTACTCAATTGAGATTTTGCATAGTTACGAAAAAGACCCACTTTGCTCGCACTTTGTAGAGGTAATAACCGTTTTACAAGTATTATAGGTATACATATATGAGGGGAAAATAGAATAATAAGTTTATTTGATTTTCGGTATACGGTGGCGGGGTACCAGTAACAGACGATAGGTGAGGTTGAAGTAGAGTCAGTCGACCTAGTCGAATTATGACGAATTCACCAAGAATTAATCACGATGTTTTCCAATAGGAGGAACACCTCATTGCTACCAGTATTTTCTTTTATACAACTTAGAATGGCAAACAAGCTGACGACCCACCTGATGGAAAGTGGTAACCGTCGTCTATAGACATGAGCAGTACCATGGACATAACAGAGTATACTGTTTCGCTCATGATACCCCCCATGCGTTGCCATTCCTGAGGACTCAGGTGTTATTCCTCTGTACCCTGTAAATTCACGCCATATCCCACCCTTCAAACCGAAACACAATCATGCAAACACAACTGCTTTACGGTTGAAGCACGAATGGGACAGAGGTACCCAAGCAAACAAAGTTTTGTACAAAGTCTCCCTCTGGTAGTATATACGGTACATGGTATCTGGTACCACATATTGCTAGCAATAGGGTTGTTAGATTCCTTTGCTAATAATCCCCTTAGCTTCGATTTTTGTAGGTTGGAATTATATACTGCAGATGGGTTTATGAATATTTTTTGCGCCGGCAAAAAGAACAAAACATCCAACATCATAATAAGAGAAGTGGCCAGCGTGGTAATAGCAGATCATATCGCCCTCATAAGAGGGACTCGTGCCCAGTAACATGACTTTGCGCATAGTTGGTAACACAGCTCTCATCCTGGTGTAGGTAGGACTCACCAGTTCCCGCTCTTAAATGTACCTATGGGCTATTGCTCGTATGGCTTACAGTGCATGACGGGTATTATGCTTGCTTCAATATTTACCAACTACATAATTTCGTTGAAGAATTTTATTTTAATTTTATTAAACTTTGACTTAATTACTTTGACATTGAAATGACTGCGTAGGTGGGGCTACTAAACGATACGAAAGTGAAACGATAATTAAATTGAATGTTTACCTCAATGTATAAAAATGCCGTTTCACGATGTCTGTTCACGCTAATCTCCGAAATCGTACAATTGATTTTAATGAAATTTTATATATGTAGGACTTATTCGTATTCTGTCTCCAACTTGAGACTAGGATAGTTTTTCATCCCAATTAAAAAAAATTACTTCGATAAGCGGCCATCGAGCGCAAAACAATATTAGCAAACCAGCACGCCCAGATTTATATCGAATCTAATTCATGAGACATATCGAGTCGAGATAGCACCTGCTAAGAATCAGAATACAACATCGAATAACCTTACCCTCCATTCATCGGTAACAGGCTAAACTATTTAATTAGGGCGATCTTTTAGAGATTAATAATAATATCGAACATGAATTGGCGGTTCATTAGAATTTAAAAGGTCGGCAATGGCCAGTGGAGGAATCTCCAGTGATGTCGCAAGCGTCCGTCGGCGAGTAACTACTTACTGTCGGTGTATGTCAGCTCGTTTGCCTCGTTATAAAAATATTGTAATAACTAAAGTAGTTTAACCTTCAGGATGGTGACGGTTTCGGATCGTGACCGATCGACAGTGGCCTAGAATCCTATGTTTGAACCCCAGCTCAAGTCTTCGGATTAATCGGATCCTTCAAACATAGCATGACCGTGTTCGTGATCATGTCCGTGTGGTCCCGGCATAGATTAGCCCCCACCCCCTATTTTTTTCTGTAGGTGTCGTAAGAGGCGACTAAAGGAATTTAATGGTAGAGGGATGAGCAGCAGCGTCCCTCTTAAAACATCTAAAAGTCCAACTGCGATTTGAAACCCGCCTGCCAAGCGTGGCGACTACTGGCTAAACTTATCCCTTATGGGGAAGGCTGTGGACAGTTAACTGTTGAAATGAAAACGTAGCATCAAAAAGCATTTAGCGAGCCGGCATAGTGCGGCCTACGGTTGGCTTGGGTGTAAAAATCCTCTTTTTGGTTGATACCAAATTATCTTTGTGTTTGCTTAAAACAATGCGGTCTAAGGCGTGATTTTAAAATTGATTATCACTTGCTTCGGAGGACACGTAAAGCAATCGTCCGGTAAGTCACGTTACAGGTTTTGTGTGTGACGAAAACGGTCTAGAGACACTTGATGCCAGAGTCCCCCCAAAGTCATAGATGCAGCGTCATTATATGTAAGAACACTTGTTCTCTGCCATAAGTTTTAAATGAAATCTATGGGAAATGGTAGAAGTGTTTTTACTTATGAAGATGTATCCCAAATACCTCCATTCGACAATAAGCCGGTGATAGATGAGGTTTGGTGAAATGAACGTACTATCTGTAAGTAAGGACTACTCTTTCCATTGTGTGTGCCTTCAGTTTATTTCCTATTAATTCTATTAATATTATAAATACGAAAGTTTGTAACGATGGTAGAATGGGTATTTGTTATTCTTTTACGCAAAAACTATCGAACGCATTTGTAATTAAATTTGATACATGGATAGGTTATGTCCTAACTTGCGTATACTTTATATATTGCTCCATGCGAGTGAAGCTGCAGGATATAGCTAGTCTATCCTATAAATTTTCATATCATATAAAAAATATTGTCGCGCTATGCGTAAGATTAGCCGTATTGTATAATGTGTTTCCCATGTCAGTGCCGGCGGGCGACTGTTATGGGAAATAAATATCTAAAAGCGTAATAAAACAATAGGCATTACATAAATTAAGGAAGAGCAATGATTTTGTACTAATC